TATATATATATATACGCATGAGATGCAAAATGTACTTAACACACACACACACACACACACAAAATATATATACTTTATAATATTATTCGTTTCTAATATATTTCATTTGTACACAGATAATATGGCATTCTAAATGCGAGGATTTGCTGATTGAATCGCTCATTCACATACCATTAGATCTATGCATAGAGATCTTGGACATAACATTTAAACACATATCCGAACTGACAATCACACGAGCTAAACGATTTATTTTCCATCTAATCTATAAATTATATAATAAATGCTTATGGTTGCACTTAGGCACCATATCAGCAGAAAATGTGACGAAAAGCTTTCAGAAATTATTAATGTATTTTGAAATATTATTACATTTGATTATCAATCCCATTAATGTCACTCATAATTTACTTATTGAGGAGTACTTACAACATGGTATTTTAGTAAAGAACATACTTCATTGTATCAAGATGTGCATGTATAGCAAAATCAAAAATTACTTAGAAAATTATAATTTAACAAGATTTTTCAGGCTTACATATGGCAACTACTATAATAATTATGCGAAGTATCATCAAACGTTTTCTGTCAGCGAGATAAAATCTATTATAGTAAGATTAGATCATAAATTGGCCACTGTACTTCTGAACCAAATCAGGTGCATTAATTATTTCGAATACAGAGTTTGGAAGTCTGTCTATGCTAATGAGATCACTGTGATCTCTCTACATCGTTCTATCATTATAGACTGTCACGATCTTAAAGAATTTATGAAACAGAATGATTTTTTGATAAAAAACGAGCAAACATACTTTTGCCTGAAGCGACTTATAGATTCAAGAAAATCTGAAGAATATATTTTAACTATTCAAGAACTCTGTCATAGAATCACCGAAGGCAAACTACATGGTATGAAGGAATTAATTATGCGCTATGAAGAGTGGGAACTATGTACATTAAATTTTATCAAACAAAAGAGAAATTTATTAAGATTTAATGACTTCTACGTTATACTTGAATATCTTTATTATAAATTCGCATATTTACATACTAAAGCAAAAAAGTATCAAGTATATGTATCGGTATTGAAAATATTGAATCATCTAAAAGAACATGATTTACACTTCGTTATATTAAAATACATGAAGCAACACTTTGATGACAATTGTCTAGAAGATCTATATAATGAAAAGTCCTTTGACGCATTTATATGGCGAAATTTACTTGTTGAAAAATTCAATGACTCACAATCAATGAGGAATGCTATCGCTCAGAGATGTCGTTCTTTCTTAATCTTTATTCTGTTAAACCCAAAAGCAGTATTAAGCAAATTGATATTTTATGAACTAGATAACATTGAATCTTCTGACAGTATTTTATTCCAACACAATATGATTGCATATTTTTTACGAAACTATTACAGTCTGAAGAAGGATCAATGTAATGTGTTAATATATATTCTGAAAAATATGATTTTAAAGCAAGACACGGAATGGCATATAAATTACAAGACATTTATAACGAAAGTGTTGGATTATCAGGTAATATATAATATTGTAAATGAAAGCATTATGAGTTTAAATTTTTATTAAAAAATTTATATTACATTAAATCAGATCACATCATATCAGATGTTTGGAAAATTCTATCAACTATTATTTTTTACGCGGAAAAAAAAAGATTTTATAGTTATATGAAATTATATAAAATTATATAGGAAATATGTTCATATATAGACATATTTCATGTAATAATTATATATAAATTTTATAT